TTTCTGGAAGTGTTCATATTATTATCAGTGAAAATTGTGCAGAAGGAAGGAATTATTGAATTCTGTGGGAGTTAGATTGACACCTCTATGTTCCCAAGTAGACTGTGACAGTCCCAGGGAATGGGTGGGTGGGAAATCTATCATCTGTTTAGCTGCTATCGGGCACCGTGTTAGTTACTTGGCAAACATCATCTCATTTAATTCCCTACAGCCTTCCTTTACAGGTGAGAGGCAGACAGGATAAATAACTTAGTTGCATCATACTTCTTGCTTGATAAAGCAAAGCTGATCTCGGAATATAGCACCAGCATTTAATTTTGGATGTTCCTGCCACATAGTAAGCTTAGAAAGGTCGTGTGGAATGAATGAGGAGTTGATGAATCATTTGAATGTTTTTTAAAAAATTGCAGCCATTACTCAATAATTATTTCTTATAGAGCATCCATTCATTTTAATTAGCGCAATTGAAAAATAACAGGCTCTATAAATTGCCTGCAGGAGAGGAACTCTGAGCTCAATTGCCTATATGTAACATCCTTGACTAATGAGCTGGATAGGAAGAACTAATATGACTCCAGACGAAAAAACGGCTGAGGATTTGTTTCCCATGGGGTCTTTAAAATTTTTCACTATGCAAAAACTTCAAGCATACACGAAAGTAGAGAGAATGGTAGTATGAACCCTCAGGCACCCATTACCCAGCTTCAAGAACAATAATTATTTTGACAACTTTTCCATTTATCGCCCCTTCTCCCATTTGGTTGTTAGACTATTTTAAAGCAAACCCAAAGGCTCATTTCACCATGAACATTTCTATAATTGGAACAAAATGGCTTTTGTGTGGCCCGTGCGTTTTCTTTCTTTAGATCTGCTATGCAGGAAGTGATGGTACAAAAACCAGTCCAGAGTGCGTGGATCTCTGGGAGGCCCGGGGGAGGAGGGCACATTCCTCACAGGCCCTGCAACTTGTTTTGCTCTTAACCTGGGGCGCTTTTCCACTGATACTCCTCTGGCCTCAGCAGTTATACTTTTCTCTAATGCTGGAAATCAAATATCTGGCTTCCCCTAGCTAGAGACATCTGGGGACTGTTGCTTCTGAAACTATTTGTGGCATGAAAATGTCACTGAAGTTGCTAGAAGCTATTTGGAATTTTTAAAGTATTGAAAACATCTGACTACAGCTGCGGCTGAGGCTGAGTGGGCAGAGTTAATTATTGCACAGGCCCGTCACTTCCCAGCAGAGTTCTTGCTCCCTGTGTTCTTCCTGTTCAATGTTTTTAACGCATTAGGCCAAGGATTGCATCCCGGTTGGGATGGGAGAGGTGGCGCAACAGGTGTGGGGGAGGAGTGGCCCTGCTCGGAGATCCAAGGAGTGTTCTGGGGAATTCTGGGACTGTGCGTGTCTTGGTCTGTGTTGTGTTGCTATCACAGAATACCACGGACTGGGTCATTTATAAAGAAGAGAAATGTATCTCCAGTTCTGGAGGCTGGGAAGTCCAAGGTCAAGGGGCCCACATGTGGTGGGAGCCTTCTTGCTGCATCATAACATGGCCAAGGGAGCGTGTGAGAGAGAAGGAGAGGGGAAGGGCGCTGCCCTCATCCTTTCATCAGGAACCCACAATAACTAAGCCACTTCCGAGATAATGACACTAATCCAGAGCCTTCCTGACCTCATCACCTCTCGACACTGTCGCATTGGGGATTAAGCTGGACGCTCCGTGTGGACAAGTGTGAGAGATGAAAACTCCAGGGGACCCCGTCAGCAGGGGCCCCCCCACTTCTGTGAGTTTTACCTCCAGGAGATGGAGCGAGTTCTCACAGTGAAGGTCAGAGAAAAACCCTCTCTGGCTTCTAGCAGGGAGAGGATAAAAAGAATTATTTTGAAATACACCAGAGCATTCTATTCTTCTTAACAAAGCCTGACCTCAGGAGAAACTATTTTATCAGAGCCTAATCTGATGGGGTTTTACCAAAGTCTAACCTACCCGAGGGAAGGGAAATGACCCAGCCCCGGGCTCCTAGTCATCCCGTCCCACCTAAAGGGGTGAAAAAAAAGAAAAAGCTGAGAAGCACTTGTGAGGTTCACATCTGGGGCACAGGCTTATACAAGACTGAGACCTAATCACAGCCTCTAGAACATTCCCTCCCCCAACACCTCACCACCACATCCCTAAAGGCCTATTTGCTGCAATTCCTTTTACCTGGTGTGCTATGTCTGCCTTTTCACAGTAAATTACAAGGCACACTAAAAGGCAAAAACAGTTTGAAGAGATAGAGCAAGCATCAGATACAGACTCAGATATGCCAGGATATTGGAATTAAAAACATACCTAGGATTAATATGCTGAGGACTCTAATGCAGCAGAGTGGGGACTAGCTCCTGCTTCCACACTGGCTTGTCACCAGTCACGAAGCTCAACAATATCCCCAGCCCCATGATGCGCTGCTTGTAGCTTCTTCTTAGAGCGTAAGTGCAATCTTCACCAACAGGGGGCGCTCACACCACGTTCCATCAGAGCCAACAGGCTTTCCCGTTTTCACTGAAATTTGTGACACTTTCATTGACACATGAAACCGGCCAAGATTTTCTTCTGAGACTGGAAGTATGAGAGTGGGAAGGTGGGCTAGAAAGGATTCTTTTTATTTACTACATAGCCATGGGCTGAGAAAAGTAAGGGAGAATGGAGTTCTGGGAAGTCATAAAAAAAATCTTCAGTGGCAGCTGGAAGGGCCCTCAAACCAATCTTTCAGCCTTCTGGTTTTACAGATGGGAAACTGAGGCCCAGACAAAGGGAAAGTATTGTGTAAGATCACACAGAGAATGAGTGGTAGCCAGGGACGTTTGCCTCCAAGACCTGCAGGGTTTCCCAGACTCTAGTCGGGAGTCTTACTGAACCCCTGGCCTGGCTGCACCACGTAGCATGGGACACGAGCCGCTGGGGGGCGTGTTACCAGCATGCCCTGAAGCACGCGGAGGTGGTGTATGCAGGAATGACTCATTTTATCCTTCAGTTCAGAAGTCGTTTTAGAAATCAGAGGCAGGTATTACTTCCTGGTGTTGGGAGTATAGATTAGTTTTATTTTCTCCTGTATAATTTCCAGGGTTTTCCAAAGTTTTACAACAAGCATCTAAAATTTTACAATCCCTCCCCATTGTAATTTTAAAAAGAGGGTAATTGGAGGGCAGAGACATGCCCAGCTCTGTACTGAGATCGATCAGGCAAGGCCAACCAGTAGCTATCACACTAGGCAGTGGCCCCCTGCTGCAAGAAGCCCTGAAGCTTATCAACTCCAAGCCTGGCCCCCATGGCAACCTCGCCCTCCTCCCTGCCTTTGCTACCACCTACTCTGCTCCTGGGATGCCCTTCTCCCATTACACTGCCAAATCCGACTCACTTCTCAGGGCCAACACCAATTCTGCCAATTGTGTGAAGGTGTTTCCAAGCCCTGCCTCTCCCTATTGGGACAACTCTCTGTCTGCCTCCTCTGACCACTGGTGGCACTTCACTTGGACCTGTTTCACAGTCTTTATCATCTGCTGCCTTGTCCTGGAGTCACTTGCACCCAGGGCTGTCTCTGCTGCTGCACTGAGACCTCCGCGTGGGCAGGGCCTGCATGTTATTTACCGTTGTGTTCCCAGTGCCAGCCTCAGCCTGGCCCATGCTAGACTTCGCATGAATGTCTGCTGAGCTTATGTGAACTGAAACTACAGTCCTAAAAGAGGGGTGTGATTTATGAGTTTACGGCAAGGCTTATCAATCAACCTTAGCACTGCTGACATCTGGGATCAGGTAATCCCACGTGGAGGGGAGTCATAGTGTTTAGCAGCATACGTGGCCCCTACCCTACCAGGTGCCTGCAGACACCCCAGCACATCTAGGTCCTCTATTCCAAGTCCAGTGCTCACCCTGCTCTCCTGGAGGCCTCTCAGGACCCCGTCAAGATCTTTCTTCTCCACTTTGGTGTGTCCACCCCACCCCCACCCTCACATCCTGGGTTACCCCTGTCCCCTCCCTCTGCCCTGCTCCCATGGCCTGTGCCAGGCTGTGACCCACTGGTTGGCCCTCCTGGTCCACGGAGACCAGCCCTCAGGCTGTGCCTGGACACACACGGTCACATGGTCTTCAGCTCCTTTGGCTCATCCCCGTGCTTGAACACACTGATGGTGACCTGGCCCGTCTCGGAGCCATACTTGTTCTTGACGAAGACGCCGTAGCGCCCGCTGTCCTCGCTGTTGACCCTCTGAATGGTGATGGTGACCTCCGTCCCCCTCACCTCCATGTGGTAGCGGTCAAGGAAGGTGACAGGCTGATCATTCTTCAGCCAAGAGATTTCAGGGGTGGGGTCTCCTGAGATGATGCAGGTCAGGCACAGGGTCTGTTTCAACGGACAGGAAGGAAACGCTCAGTCTCACCCCCTTGTAACCTGAACTTGGCATTCACCTCCACGCTCCCAGGGAGCTCCCAGTACAGGTTGTTGCTTGTGATAAATTTATTATGTGTGTTTAGTTATAACCCATAAAGGGAGAGACATTTTGCTTTAACCCCACATTCTTCCTCCTCAGCCTCTCAACAGGAATACTTAGGAGTTAGACTTTTAGGTCATTATTACTCTAGTGATTATCTGCCCCAGAACAGCCTGCACTTTGCTTTATTGCTTTTTGTCGTGTGTATCACTATGATTTTACCTTGCAAGTAAGATTATGTTGCTTTAATATAAACATTGATGAATTGAGTTTGAAAATTCTAGGACAAGCTCTAACGTGAAACAATACAGTATAATGATTAAGCACACGGGCTCTGGAGTTGGCCTGCCTGGCTGTGAATCTCGGCTCTGCCCCTTTTAGTGGTGTGACCTTAGGTGAGTCCCTTACCCACTCTGGGCCTCAGTTTCCTCAGCTATGAAGTGTGACTGGTAATAAATAATACCTTATTCCACGTGGTTGCCTTGCTGGTTAAATAAGCTAAAATATGGAACAGCACCTGGCACAAAGTAGGCACCATAAAAATGTTAGCTGTCAGTAGGATTGCTTGAGCCCAGGAGTTTGAGGTTGCTGTGAGCGAGGCTGATGCCACGGCACTCTAGCCCGGGCAACAGAGTGAGACTTTGTCTCAAAAAAAAAAAAAAAAAAATGTTAGCTGTCATTTTGGAGAACGTTAGACTTGCATAATTCCAGCCCTAGGAGGGCTTTTAGGGATCATGCGGTAGAACTCCGGCGGAAACTGAAGTTCACAGACAGAAGTCCGTGACACCCAGGGCTGTCTAGAGAGGTGGGGTAGAGCTGAGTGGCTGAGCCCCGACCCGGCCTGACACCAGGCACAGAGGCTTTCCTGTGTAGCACGTGTGATCAGCCAGGTGGGTCCCTTGGCCAAACCCTGGAAGATCTGGTCCCTTTGGCCTAGCAGCCATTCTGTGGCTCTCGAATCCACAGTGTTTCATGATGTGATGGGTGCATGGGGGACACAGCGAGGGGCTGCTGGCCACGGGCCAGGGAGTCAGTACCTTGTCCTCCATGATCGTGGCCACGTCCGGCAGACCCCTCACCACTTTGGCACGATCTGGAAGGGAAGTAGGAAACCCCAGCAGTGAATGTTTCCCTGCCAGCTGCTTCCCAGAAGCAGGTTTTCACAGAATTGAGATTTATTTTTGAGCAAGGCTTTTTTTTTTTTTCTATTTTCATCATTTTGGATAGAAATCTTTAAGATCGTATTACATGCTTCCTTGTACTCAGCAGCAGGAGATATAGGACTGATGTGATTCTGCCGCTGATTGGAGGCTACTGTTATGATTGGTGGGGCCTGGAGGTGGCTGTGAGGGGCCCCTGCCCTCCAGAACTGGGAAAGCAGGTAAGTGCATTGCTCTGACACTTAAACTGGCAAAACCCACACAACAGCTGTGACCAGCCACTAAGGGAGTGAACCAAGAGGGGGTCAGGAAAAGTGGGACCGAAGCTCTTGGGACTCTTTGACTCTGGTCAAGCGAGGGACCTGGTGGCCACTGGGGGTGGGCTGGAAGAGAGTGTGGTTGTAAGTCCTTGATGCTGCAGTGAGGCTGTGGGAACAGAAGGGGCAGCCTAGACCTTGGATCGGAGAAGAGCACAGAGCCCACGTGGTGGCGTCTGTCCAATGCGTGAAAGGGGAGCAGGACCCCGAATTGGGCAGGGAAGCCCCACGGATGGAAACCGTTATGGGCAGGAATTTTCACCGCCCCTCCAGGACGGGAGGGGATGTTCCTGCTGGGCGAGTGATTAGACGGGTGGCCTGAGAGCCTCTTCCTGGCCCGAGCAGACTGGGGCTGGTCTTGGGTTGTGCTCTCTCTGCCAAGGGCACCCCCTGCCCCCCAGCAAAGGCTTCTCACTGTGCGGCCATTGAGACCCTCTGATTGCTCCTTCCAGACTATAGTTATGAACTTGAGTCCCGCACTTCCTGTCAGGTGGGGACATTCGGGGGCATCCATGCCATGCAGGGCGAATTACGCCCTCCCACAAATGGCCTCAAGTTGGCAGCACGTTGGTTTTCTCATCAGTTTCTCACAGTTGTCCAGTCTCCTCGCGGCCAGGCTGGCAGGGGCTGCTGGGTTCCGCTGCGGGTCTTTCCCTCACTGAAACCCCCACTTCTCATCTGCTGGGCCAGAGAGGCCAGAGAGCCAGGCCCCCATCCCCGCGCCCTTTAGACCTGGGCGGGGGCCTGGCGAATGGGACAAACCCCGGCTGTTGACTGGTCGTGGCTCCCCCAGCAGCCCAGGGGCCAGCCACGTCCCTCTGGGTTTGGGCTTCGTCCTGGATTCGACGTGGCCCCAACACCCCGAGAGCCTCAGCTTTAGCCATCCCCTGCCCACAGCTCGTGCGGGAAGGCCGCCAGCCTCGGTCCTCTCTGTCCCGTCTTCCAGGTCCCACCAACAGGGGCATCCATACCCACGATCCCTCTCACTCCTCATCTGTCCTGCCCAGGTCTCCCCGGCAGCTCTGTGAGAGCCCAGAGCCCCGCAGACCCCCCTGGGGAACGGAGCCTCAGCAGCCTGCCCTGAGGCTGGAGCCCCTGGGAAGTCCGCCCCAAACTCAGAAACAAACAGTGGAAACGGCAGCAGACTCACTCTTCTCGATGATGGCCAGGGCTCTGAAAAACAGAGATGGGAACGAGGTTGATGTTCCATTTGTCAGAGGACAGTCCTGCCGGGTGCGGGGAGGGGGTGCTGAGGGAAAGGTGGAGCCGGCCGTGGCTCCGGGCAAGGGGCACAGTTCGTGCCACACCCCAGAGGGTCCTGAGATTCACACTGAGAAACGCAGAGGAAACTTACTTCAGTCTCTGGTGTTCAGCCAGGGCGTCGTCGAAAGCTGCAAGAAGGACGAAGCGGGAGGGAACATCAGGGCCTTTGCCACATGACAGCAGGGGCGGGGTGACCCCCAGGGGCGGGGTGACCCCAGGGGTGGGGTTTAGCCCTGACTGTCTTCCACTCTCCTCCCCATTCCGTTGTTCTCCTGGGGCAGTGCCAGGTTTGGGTGGGGAGACAGGAGTCCCCCCACAAGACCATGGGACTTTGCAAACAGGCCGTCGGCTCACCTTGCCCCGAGAGGTCCGTAGAGAGCTGCCGGACTTCCTTCCCGGCAGCAATTTCCAGAGTGTATTTGCCCTTGTCTGAGTCTTTGGGGTCCAGGATGTGGAGCCAGATGTCGTCCAGGGTGGTGCCTGCCCTTATGCGATCACCGCTCTCCAGGCGCCTGTCTCTGAACACAGGGCGGAGAAGTGCTTAAGGCCGGCTGCGTGCCGTGGACGGACACCCCTGCCCCGGACTTCCCTCCTGGGGTTTTGTTCCAGCTCTGTGGGCCGAGGGTGGTGGCCATCCAGGAGACCCTTGATGAATACCTGTCGCTTCATTCATCATTCGACCCTCCATTCATTCACTTGTTCATCAAATCGTGTGGCACAACAGCTACGTGCCAGTGCCGAGCCTGCATTTGGGACATGTCCTGCAGGCTGGGACCCCAAGGAAATGGCGCTCCAGGGTCAGTGACAGCCACGTCCCCCACCCTCAGGAGCTACTGTCTCACCTTCTCATTCTTCTCATCTTAAACCCTCCCAGGGTTTCCTCCCACAATCCCTCTCCCCTATGCTTTAGAAACAACTTAATTTTAAAACTCTGTCCCTTCTTTGCTTAAATTTCATTCCTGGAGACACTGGCCTGTGTCTCTAGTGTTGTGTTGCAGAGGTGACACCCCTGTGCTTAGTCACAGGGCTCAGAAACTCTGGCCAGGGAAGGAGCCCATTGTCCTGAAATTCCACCTGGCCTTGCTCTCACTCAGTTGACAAACGTGACCAAGGCAGTCTCGCCTTCTCCGTAGGGTGGGAGTGGCAACGTGTGCTCCGTGGGGCTGAGGCGTGCAAGTGACGAGCGGCGCTGCTCTCTCACCATCTGGCATCGCTTAGCCCCTGGCAGGGTCTCTGTGGACACCTTAACTATCCTGCCTTGAGCCCTGGCCCTCAGTCAGTCGTCAGCCCTGCAGGTCCCTCTGCCTGCCCCTTCCCCTGGGCCTGGCTGCCTGGGTTAGCTAAGGCTGCAGAGGCCCACAGGGCACTGTGGCCCACCGGACTGTCTGCTTCTTCACTCCCGCGTCCCTCTCGCCCCCAGTTCCCAGGCGCTGCTGCTCTGAGACTGTGATCCTGCTGCGGCCACAGAGACCCTGGGAAAATGGTCCTCCCACCAAGGTTGCCACCTTCCCTGGGAGATCTCAGCAAAGCCCTCCTACTCCTCCAACGGCTGATCCCTCTCCCAACTCCTGTGGACAGTGGGACAGTAGACTCTCCTCTCTGCCAGCACCCTGGGACTGGGCTCTGCTGGGGGGACGGGGTGGGGGAGGAGGGCAGCCCCGTGGGCAGGCGCTGGACGCCCTCCAGCCTGGCTGGGCTCCAGGCAAGGCCGACCTACTTGTGGAACCAGGTGGTTTTCATGTACTCCACGTTGTAGTACTTGACCTTGCTGAAGATCCGGATCCCTTCCTCGGTGCCCTGGATTTTCAGTGGGGTCGCAGAGAGGGCTGGGGAGACAGGAGAAGGGTCAGTTTTCCCTGAGGCAGTATGTTTTGGGGCCAGCCTGCTCACCCCTGCCCAGGGGTGCCTCAGGGGGATGCTGAGCTGTGAGGAAGCAGGAGCTCCTCTCCAGTCTCTGAGGCTGGACACTAAACCCACCCCTGGTAGCCAAGGCCGGTGGGAGGCCCCTTGGCCACTCTTTGGCACGAGGGCAGAGCTGGCTTACCCCCGATCCTGCCCAGCTCAGCGAAGACGGCATCCAGGGCTGGGGGGAGACAGAGAGAATGGTCAGCGGGTACGGAGCTTCCCCAGGGATGTCTAGGATGGGGATGGCCTTGGAAAGGGCTGGGGCAGAGGGAGCTCTGCAGGATGACGCCCACGGCTTGGGTGCTCAGCAATAGGAGGGCCAGGGGCACCCGATGGGTGGAGGATGGACGGGCCAACCTGCCAGTTCTCTTGCAGGCTGAGCCACCCAGCCCGATGCAGAGCCTGGGCCCACTGTGGGCAGAGAGGTGAACTCAGGCTTTGGATCTCCAAGCCTGGGCTCACTGTGGCATATTGCAGTGGACACGAGTGTCAAGGGTCACACAGACCAGGCCCCTGTCACTAACTAGCTGTGCAACCTTGGGCAAGTCACTTAACCTCTCTGTGCCTCTATTTCCCCAAGTGACATGGGGATCCCATAAATCTTACCCTGCAGGTCGCATCTATAGCCCTCCTGGCTCATCTCGCCATCGCCGGCTCCTACCTTCACCTGTGAGGTCCAGTATGGTGTCGTCCTCCCCTCGGTTGTCAGAAACCACCGCTCTATAGACTCCCTTGTCCTCTTTGGAGAACTGGAAGGAAGGATGACAGATGGCAGTGTCAGCATGGCTTCTGGGGAGTGATGGGCAGCTGATTAGGAGGCCCGGGCCCCAGGCCTGCCCCCAACTCTCTGAGTGACCTCAGGCAAGGCCCTTCTCCTCCCTGGGCCGGGTTTGCTGCTCTGGGCTGGGGGGTCTCTAAGGCTCCTTCCAGCACTGGAGCCCTTTGATCCCTAGCTTAGGACCTGTCTGGGCTGGGCAAGGGGTGGGGTGGGGGTAGTTGAGGGCAGAAACAAGCAGCCCTCCCCCCACTTGGATTCACCAACAGCTGCTCTGAGCACAACACAGAGAGCCCTCCTTGCAGAGCTCGTCTGAGCCTGGCACACCCTTCACTCCCCCAGCGGTCCTGGATGGAGGGACACCCCTGCTCGCCACATGTCCCCAGAAGGAAGTGTGTTTTCTTTTGCCCAAGACAAGAGGGTCCTTCCTGACACACATTTGTCAGTCCAGAATTAAATCTGAACTAACACTCAGGAATGCAAGAGCTTGGGCTGTGCTTTTAAGGCAAGGCCTGGAGATCGAAAGTGACCTCTCGTTAGCCGGCCCCTCCTTCAGGCCTGGGAGTAACATTAATATCTGCCTTCCCACCTGGACCGTCTCCACAGAGTGGGTTTGGGGCAGGATCCAAGGCAGAGGCAGCTCTTAACCTGGGGATGGAAACAGGCCTCTCCTATGTCCCCCTCCCTCCTTCCCATGTGACGAAAGCTCTAAATCCCAGCCGAACCCAGGGCGGGTGGTCACAGTGGCTTCTGACCCCCCTTGTCAGGCTCATGTCTTCGCACTGAAACCCTCTGAGCCTCAGTACACTCATCTGTAAAATAGTGGCACAACCCTCACCCTGCCTATGTGCGACAGCTGCTGTGAGGGTCAAGGGAGGTAACTCTTTGGAAGCCAGAAAGTTCGCACCGATGGTACAGATGATTAGAGTATGATAAAACCTCGTAACTATTTAAAAAATTTTTTTTTACCCTTTCCACCTTCCCATGCTTCAGTCAAGGCCAGAAACCCCGTAACTATTAAGCACCTACTTATTGCCATGCCCTGTTCATGGAGCTTGCAGGGTGGTGACAAAGCTCAATTTGGCATCATTCTGGCCAGGATTTGGGAAAAGACCCATGTTTGCTGCAGTCTCCCTGACACCCAGTGAGGCCGCAGACACCAGCAGCGGGGCAGGGAAATAGTGACGTCTAAGAGCAAGCCTTGCGTTTCACCCTTAACCAGGCCACATTCATCCGAAGGCTGTCGGGGGGGACTTGGGTGGCAGAACTGAGCTCCAGGCCTGCTTTGTTCTGCCCAGACCTGCCTCACACGGACACATCCTTCTTGTCCTGAATCCTAGACTGTCGGGGGCAGGAAGGAGGCACGGGGAGAGCATCCCTTCCCACCCACCCATGCTGCGGACGATAGCTGAGGTCCGAGAGGCACAGAGACTAGCCCATGCCTGCCCAATCATTGGCAGGGCCAGGACTGTAGATCAAACAAAAAGAAAAATCAATAATACTGATTCTGTTACTACTGAAAATTTTGCTATTTTTTTCATGGTCTTTTTTTGTACTCATTTTTATTTTTTTAAAATATTGCATAAATATTATTAATCTTGATGACTGAGTTTTTTGGTGCCCCTTACATTTTGGGCCCGGGGTGAGCATCTCACTTAGCACGCTCTGGTCTTGGCCCTGCTCCCGACTCCCGGCCCCGTGCTCTTGGCACTGCCCGCTCGCAGCTGACGGAGAGCGTGAGCCCTGGGGCTGGGGCTGCACTTACCTCTTCGATGCGGAGAAGTCCTTCTCCCGTCTGCGGGTTGTACTGAGCTTCTGGCACCTCCATCCTCTGGAAGAACCACTGAAAGCGAGTCTCGTTCTTGGTGTTGGTCACCTGAGGAAGGTGGGGAATGAAGAGACTGTCTTAGGCTTTCTTTCTTTCTAAGTAAAAACATACACAAACGCGCACCCTCCTTCCTCACTCCGTATGTCCCCTCCGCTGGCTTCTGGACCCTGAACGTTTCCTAATAGTGTTTCCATTGCCTCTTGATCCCTGCCCTACTCAATTTTTTTTGTAAATGCCTACACTTCTTAACCTCTCAGTTAAACGTCGCCACCTCCAGGAAGCCTTCCTTGAAGCACCCCAGCATGCTCCCCCATCTTGATTAATCAATTTCCTGCACATGTCTGGATCAAACTTGAGGCAGGCTGTTTTCCAATGATCCTGCCTTGGACCACGGGCTCTCAGAGGCCCACGAGACCACTTTGTCTCTGTATGCCTGGCACTTCACGGAGAGTCTGGCACCTAGTAGCCACTTTGCGTTTACTGAAGGAATGTGCTTCTAGGGGAGCACCTGCCCCACCCCAGCCCTCCCCAGTTATCTAAAGAGGCTGGAGGGCGCTGAGAAGGACCTCGGGCTTTGGAGCCAGACAGGTGTGGTTAAAACCTAGGCTTTCCCTCGTACTGTGGGGTCTTGAGCTATTTCTCTCACTAGTTTTCTCACCCACAAAGTGGTGATAATAGTGCCTGTCTCACAGATGAGTGTGAGGCAGATGAAATAAAATAATACGCAGTGTCTGGCATGGCTAATGCCAGTATTTATACAGGGACACCCCCTCAAGATACAGACCCTCGATAGCTCCCAGACCCTCCGGACCCTGGGAGCCCCTTCCGGAGCCACTGGGATCTAGCTCGGGGCTGATCCTGCCCTCTGGGGTCTGCGAAGGTGGGCTTGCTTTTCAGTTTAAACACAGTCTCCTGGAACCACTTTCCACTTGTGGGATCAGCCAAGTAGAGGAGGTGGAGTTTGGGGGATGGGGTGGGTAGGGTCAGCCACTGGGCTTGGGGACAAGCCACAGGCTCCACCCCCCTGGGCCTGGAGCAGGACTGGAGGGAGGGCAGGGACTTGCCTTGCACGTCAGCAGCACTTGGCAGTCCTCCGTGACCCTCCACTGCAAAGGCTCCTCGAAATAGGGACCTGTACGTGCAGACAAACGCGCGCACCATCGGGCCTGGCCAGTGCGCCCCCTGGTGGCCAGAGTGGGGGAGCCAGCCAGGCAGAGAGCAGCTAACGGCGGCGGACCCCTGGGACACCGCCCCCACCAGGGCGGGGACTGGGCGAGGCAAGGGAGGGGTCGGGTGCGACATTGAAGGAGGCTGTCACTCTCAGGATCCGGCAAGTGCTGTTTTGTTCCGGCGCGGGGACAGAACTGCACCGAATTGCAGCGGGCCTCCCTGCGGGGTCCAGGAGGGCAGGGGTCCCCTTAACCCCCAGCCCAGCAGTTCTCCAGCACCGCCGGTGGCCCCGGCGTTCGACTGAACTTCCCCGCAGCAGCCCTTACCCTGTTTTCTCTTCCAGTCTCTTCTCTTAGCGTCTGCCTTCCTCAGGAGTTTGTCAAAATCTGTGAACACAGAGGGAGGGACTGGCGTGAGCTGGGGGCGCGCAAGTCTGGGGGGGACACTGGGACCGCAGCGGAGGGGGCGCTCAGCGGGCCGCGGAGCCGACGGCGGGACGGGGCAGACGGGGGCACCGGGCGGTGGGGCGCGGCTGACCGTCATCCACGAGAGTCAGCGTGATCTGGTTTTTGGCTTTTCCGTCCTGGAGCTGAGCTGTGTACGACCCTTTGTCGGCCTCTGACAAGTTCTCGATGATCACTTCCACCAGGCCCTTCTCCCGCTCAAAATTGATCTTGCGGTTCTGAGAACAAGCCCACAGAGTCCTTTTCACACTTTCCCTGTTCTGGAAACTTTGTTTCGAGGCACACGTCAGGGGGTAGCTGGACTTGGGGGTGTGTGCAGGGTTATGAGCCTTCGGAGACTGGGGCACCCCCACGCCCAGTCCCTGGGGACACCCCGGGGAGGCTTAAATTAGCTACAATTTAATAATAAGTCCCCCACCCCTACTGCATCACAGTTTTTGTTATTTTCTACTTTTTAAAAAATTAAATAGGGAAAACCCCCATAAACACATATAAAGGATAATATTAAAAATACCTGTGTGCTTGGTACCCAGAATTCACATTTCATTTGCATTTGCCGTATTCTAACCATTTTAACAGTTTTATTTTCCACATTTAGGTCTTTACTCCCTCTGGCTTTATTTGTACATATGATTTGAGGGAGTTAATTTTATTTTTCTACAGGGACAACTGCTTGTTCCACTGCTGTGTACTAAAGAGTCCAGACTTTGTAACACTTCCTCTACCACGTGGCAAGGTCACTGCATAATCTTTACGCAGAACTTTCAAATCTATTTTCTCTTTTGTTCCTCTCGATCCCGAGACGACAAGCCCATTGTACAGACGCAGAAACTGAGGCACAGATGGGTGAAGAGACCTGCTCAAGGCCATAAGCCCACAGGGGGTGGACATGAGTCTCCTGTCAGGACCAGCGCCCTTCCCTATAACACGTATTTTCTTCAGTCTAGTGTGCTCCCAGCTGAGCTATTTCCGCTGCCTTACGTAATTTCTTTCGTTTTTGTCATAGGACCTTCGGTGTATGTAACACATATTTTCTGATGGCTGCTTTGCCATCTGGTGACGAAACTCACAGATAACATGAGATTGAATCATGACTTTGAGTCTCTCATGAGATTGTAATTGCCATGTTTGTAGGTAAAAAAACCCAGTTGAATATCAACAAATCATATGGTTCAATCTAATACAACCTGTCTACATATATGATTTAAAAAATGTAATATTCTAGTTGTAATATAAAGAAGAAATAAAAGTCACTAAAATAAAATAATATGTATTTCAATAGGTAGATGCTTGGATATAACCTCGATTATGCTGCACTGACTTATAATGAATTGGTTTGAATTTAAGAGAAGTGAAAAGATCAGAAGCTATTCATTCTGTACGAAAACAGGAGAATGAATGAATGAGCATAGGTGAAGTGGCCAGTAGAATAAAAACTCTCCATTCGGTGCATATTAAGATTGTCCCCAAATATTTTGTATTCAGATCCAAAACAGGGTTAGGGTCTAGGCTTACATAATTATAAACACGAGTGTAGGTTTTTCATCTTAAGAATGTCTGGTGGGGCAATCAAATGCTGTGGGGGTGCAGGAAAGTCTTTGTTTGTGGGAATGTCCCTTGCATTGGCCAGCATTTAGAGTCCCTGCCACCTCCACAACTATGCACCAAAAGCCAGGTGCCCCACCCCCCCATCACTGGATAGTCGAAGTGCAGTCATTCCTGAAATGCCCACTAGGGGGAGGTACCTTCGGGGAACCCCTGCCTGGTGAGGCCACCTCCTGGGCAGGGGAGCCTCACTTGGGGATCCTGAGCGCCCAATTACCGGCGAGCTGAAGATCTCCTTCTGGTTGAAGATTAGATGCAGCTCAGCGGCCGGGGATAACTTTTCTACTTGCAGCCAAAGCCGCACCTCTCCTCGATCGAGGATGTCAACGTTCCAGCCGGAGATCAGTTTGATCACTGGGAGGCACAGGACAGGAAGGGGGTGGGTGGCCCTTCTCCCTTCCCCACGCCCGGCCAGCCCACCTCGAGCGTGCAGTTGGCATTTGACATGCAGGATGCTTGGAAAGCTTGAAGGAATTGCGTCTGGAGTGGGGGCTTTCCGCATGCTCATTCTAGATTTAATTAGTCTCAGGGAAGCATTTCCTCTTCTAAGAGCCCCCAGGCTGTGGTTCTCAGCCTGGCTGGGCATCGGATCCCCGAGGACTTCCAAAAACACTAGAGTCTGGGAGATTCGAATTGTCTGGGGCATGGCCCGGGTGTCAGGATTTTGAAAAGCTCTCAGGGTGACTCTAACGTGTAGCCAAGTTTGCGACTCTCTGCTCCAGGCGGTGCAGACGCCAGCCCAGCCAGGGGAAGCAGAGGTCTATATGATCCAAAATCCAAATGACTGGAGAGCCAGTCATAATTATTATCAAAAGAAGAAACCACCCATGTTTCCCTCCCTCGCAGCCCCTCTGCTCCCTGCCGGCTGCTCTTCTGCTTTCGTAAGCTCCTGGGGTCTCTGGCCTTCCAGCCCTATGACTCCCCCATCCTCTGCCCCCTGGGTTATTTTCTGGCTCTTGGCCTGACTCTGCTCTGCTCAGGACACGCCGGTGGCCCCAGGGGGAGCTGTGTGGCGCTGGCAGCCGGGACTGCTCACCTGGGTTCCTGATCTCATGACTCAGCTTCTTCAGCTTCTCCAGCTCTGCGACAGGGAGGAGCAAGAAGAAACCAGAGAGAATGAACCGTCCAGGCAAGGCGGACCCACAGGAGCTATCCTATGAGCCCATGCGGGGTAAAAGTCCCAAGAGACACATCCCCCAACTTGGGGTCACTTAGCTCCATAGGGGTTGATGATGTGCACTGTGGGCTTTTGTCCTGGGGCACCGAGAGAGGTGCTGGGGCCACTGCTGGCCACCCTGAGATTGTGTCTTCTCCCTGTCCTCCAGGCCTAGGTCAAGTCTCACCCTAGAGAAGCACCTACTATGTGCCAGGCCCAGCATTTCTCCTTAGTGCTCACACGATGCTGTGGGCTGAGTGTCACTGTCCACCTCCAGGCCACTCCAGGCCCACTGCTAACCCACCGTAATGTGCTGTCCTAGTGTCTGAGGGTCTGTACCACACACTGAGCACTTCAGTCCAGAAGTTTCCAGGGCTGTTTTACAGAGTGCTCTCTCATTTGCTGACTGCTTCTTTGTGTTAGGTTTCTCTCTTCTGCTAAGGTGAGCTCTGGACCCACATGAGTGTCTGGCATGCAGTAGGTGCTTAATAAATATATATCCTGTTGGTGAATTGGCAGGAGTGGAGCCCATGCCTCATTTTCCCTTGTGAGCCCCAGAGTCCTTAGTGTGATGAGCATAGACTCATGGTGAGCACATGGTCAAAAAACAAAAAGACCCCAGCACTTCTGTGGATGGTTTTAGTTTGCATAGAATCATCTAATTGTATCTGTATAACAACGTTATTTTCAACTAGGGCAGCCAGGGATTATAATCTCCCTTTGCAGTTGAGGAAACTGAGGCCTGTTTGTCCAAGGTCAAACAGCCAGCAGTTATGGAACTGGACTTAGAATCCAGGTGTCTCTGGCTTCTGCTTCTCAACAAAATCAAAGGGCCTCAAGTGTAAAGAACAGGGATGACATGGGCAAGGCTGTCCCAATTGCTATGGAGACAACAGAAGGTATGTCTCATCAGTCATGAGAGCATGGGTTTTGGTTTAGTTTAATTTAGACTTGGTATTCACTCTCTGGTTAGCCATAGTCCCCACCATTCCCGACTGTCAGCTTTATTTCTCAGACCAGCTGCTGCTTGCAATTTATCATCACATTTGCATCACTGTTTTTCTTGGCTATAGAAGGAAGCAAAATAATTCCTGTATCTTTACCATTATCAAAAATAGGAAAATGAAAAAAAGACACGAAGGATGTGAATTCTATCCAGTAGGGATTGTTGCCTGTCAAGTTCACTGATGTAATCTGAGGGCACAGGACTCTTGGTCTGGGACTGTCTCTCTGGGGAGGCGGCTGGAGGTGGGGACAGGGGCATTACCTTCCTCGGTCAGCGTGTGGCTTGCTGAGATGTCTTCGTCAGCATCAGTGACTACCACTGAGTAGGTGCCCAAATCCTCCAGGCCGGGTTCTTTCAGGATGACCTTGGACCTGGCAGAGAGAGGAGAGTAGAGGTTCTGGAGGGAGCTCCTTAGCCTTGTGTGTTGGGGGCCTGGAGGCTGGGGGAGATCAGCTGCCTCCAGTGGCCCTGTACCCCATCCTAGACCCCAGCTCCCCACAACGAAGACTCCAAAGTCCAGAGCAGAGGAAGCTGAGTCCAGAGAACTTGCAAGAGCAAGTGGCTGGCAGCCAGGCTAGAAACCAAGTCCTGAGTGTCTCCTAGAGGCACACGCAGTTCCTTGCAGAAAAAGAATCCCCCAAAGAATGGCGCCGTTTCAGCCCCTTAGATGCACTGCTAAGGTGGCAGTGGGAGTCCTGCGCCAAGGAGCAGGCCGCGCCTTTCACCCGTTACCTGTGAGTCCCGCCCTCTGGGCTCACTCACAAGTCTGCCAACTCCTCTGACAGTATGTGCCGAGTAGCCATTTCTCCTCCTCTCCCCTCACTTACTTGTTACCTTTATCCTCGATCTTGACCCTCTGGGGGTCTGGCGGACCCTTGTAGTCTTTGGACCACTGAAACTCTGAGGAGTCGGGGGCTTCGGGGGCTTCGAAAGCTAAGTAGATAAAGCCCTCTTCATCCACACCAACCTCGATCTCCCGGGCATCTGGGGCAAGATCCAGCAGAGGGCACGGACATTTATCAATAATAAACCAGGCCATGCCCTCCCCTGCTTAAACCTCCTGGTGCCTGCCCACCACACTTGGATAAGATAATAAATCTGATTGCTCGCTGTGGCTGACAAGGCCTTGCATGATCTGGCTCCTTCTCAGCTCAAATGTCACCTCCTCTGAGAGGCCCTCCCTGACTGCCCTGGACGAGTAACCCCACCCCACCCTACACCCTGTGTTATTTCCTTTACAACACTTCTCACTATCTTAACTCACCTTCCTCCTGCGACAGTTCATTCCTTCACTGTCCATCTGCCCCCCACCTGCCCCGACACACTAGAGCGGTGATCTTGCCTTCTCATTCACGCCTGTGTCCCCAGTGCAGTGTGGGCATCACCAAATATTTCTTGAATAAATATGTAATTAAAAGAATGCAAAGAGAATGTGCTTTATAGCCAGGAGAGCTGAGCGATTCTGTCATATACTAGCTGCGTGACCTGATCGTTTAACTTCTCTGAGCTATAATAAAATCAGTTGCAAAGTGGGGACAATGACCCTTCCCTCAGGGCTTGTTGAAGGACCAGTAAATGTGAGGACCCAGCTCCCCTCGGGCTCCACCTGTCCTGGATGGCGCAGCTTGCCAGTGGTGCACTGACACCCTCCGGCCACACCTACCTGGCCTGTCCCCCAGGAGCACAGGGTCGGTGGGCATGGACGGTTGCCCCAGACCGGCTGAGTTCACGGCCTGCACCTGGAACACGTAACTCTTTCCTGGCTGCAAGTCGCAAACCTGGGGGCGGTGGAGGGAAGAGCCAGCAACTTAGAGGACAGCAGCCACTTAGTCTTACCAAAACCCTGGCCTTGGGGTGCAGGGAACCACTCATTGGTGGACCCCTGAGGAGGGCAGTGGCCGACTGGCAGGTGGGGGCAGGCAAGGAGCACATCCCTCTCTTGAGTTCCAGGCCCGGTTCCAAGTTTTCCACGGGCCTCTCCACCTGGATTGGCTCCCAGGTGTGTGGCACCCGGAACTCCCACCCCTGGAAGTTGAATAATTCATTTGCCTCCCAATGAGAAAACCCCTTCCTTCCTGTGTTCCCGTCTCTCCCTGAGATGTGGCCACCCACCTAACACCCCAGAGAGGCCCGGGCTCACCGCCAACAACCTTTTCTCGAGCCCTCCCCATCGACCACCGGGTTCCTCCCATTTTGTTTTCTTAGCATTTCTCGAACGTGGCCGCTCCCCTCCAGGTCCCAGCCACGACCTTGGCCGAAGCTTTATTTCTCCTCACCTGAACCCACCCAGCAGTTTCCTAAATGGCATCTCTGCCCTGGATGCTTCTGCAGGGTCAAGTTCCAGTTTCGAGGTTCAGTACCCAAAGCCCCCCTGACCTGGCCCGAGCCTGCTGTCCTCTCACGGCCGCATCAGCCCCCTTACTCCACGCTCCCTCAGCGTCCCCACGCTCCTCACGTCATTTCACGTCCTTGCCTTCGACCTTGCTGAGCCTCTGCCCGGAGGGCCCTCCCCTCGGCTACCTGACTCCAACTTGCAAGGCTCCCGCCAGCATCTCTGACCTTCCTCCTTGAGCTCCCAGGATTCCTGGGACCCCCTCAATGGTGGTATTCATCACACGGTATTGTGATTACTGCCACCCAACAACTGTGACTTATTAGCGTTTCGTGTCTGGGACCTAGTTCAGAGCTGGCACCGAGTAGCTGTCAAGAAGTGTTCAGTGAGTGACCGAGTGAACGATGGCCAACCCTCCACAGGCAGAAGCCGGCGCCGTGTCTCCAAGGCTGTCCTGCCCTGGCCGGCGTCACCCTACGGGCGAGGGGGAGACCTTCCGCGTAGGCGAAAGCTCTGCGGACTCTCAGGGGATTCCACCGGCCGAGACGCGTCCTCCCTGACTCTGCCTTAGGTGGCCGTAATTTCACTTTTACAAAATTGAAGCATATTAATTTTTTTCTGGTTGTAAAAGAAACACAAGCTTGCTGGGAAACATTTAAAGCGGTAGAGAAGAATGTAAAATGAAGGATTAAAGCTCCCCTGGCAGTCCCACCCCCAGAAATGACCAGAATGAACCCTTTGGAAAAACCCGTTTAGACTTTTAGATGCACATAAACCACGCAGAAGCATGGTGCGTGCCGTGTTCTGTTAGATCTCCCTCTTTCCGCATCGTGTGGAGCCTGTCTTCTTCCCTCCCGGTGCTCACTAAGGGAACGCGAATGGGGGTCTCGACAACTGCATCCCCTCCTGCCTGCTGGGGAAAGTGGGCCGGAGGAAATACTCCCTCTCTCCCTAGAGCGGCAGAAAATGCAACCTAATCCACGTCACAGAACTGTCCTTACAAACCTTCCTCAAATCAAAGAGGCCCGTGAGACACGCTCCAGGTGTGGAGCCCTGTGTGGCCTGCGAACGTGGTCTTC